AGATGTGTTCAAGGACCCAGGCCCTTTTCTTCTTATACTCTGCCCTATTCAGAACACTATCTTTCATCGCCAGGCTTGACTCCTCATGGTCACAATTTGGCTGCCAAAGCACCAGACACCAAAGCAGAAGGAAAGTGGCAGATGGGCCTTCTCATGCTGCTCTAGGAAAAACTGGCAGCTCGCCCTGTGGTCCTATGGCAGGAAGGAAGGACAGCTGTGTTGAGTAACTGAAGCTAAGTTTGCCAGCTGGAACTCAGAAAACACCCATTCCTGTGTGGGTTTGTGCTGAGGTGGGGTATATAGAATACAGGAGGAAGGTGTCAGACTGGCCAGAAACAGAGGTCCGCTGGGGCAAAGGTAGACTTTGGCCAGGATTTTGAATAGGTCAATAGCCTGGGACAGGGTCAGTCTGTGGCTCAAGTCCAAGACCGTTTTGTGGCTGGGGAAGAAGGTGGGTGGTGGCCAGGGTCAACATGTGGCCTGTGGCTGAACTGGAGGTCATTCTGTGGTTGGAATGAGGTGTCCTAATGGAGCCAGGATGGAGGCGCTCTCTCTCTCTCTCTCTCTCTCTGTCACTCTCCCTTCCTTTTCCCTCCCTCTCTCTCTCTCTCTCTCTCTCTCCCCCTCCTCCTTCCTTCCTCCCTCCCTCCCTCTCCCTCTCCTCCTCTGCGAAGGCCTGTACTTAGTGGGGCAGATGGTGTGTCTGTGTTTGCAGTTGGTCCTCTGACTCCATGTCCTTGGATTTAACCAACTGCTCATCCTAAAACCTTTTTAAAAATTTGCATCTGGCCAGGCACCAGTGGCTCACACCTGTAATCCTAGCTACTCGAGAAGGCAGAGATCAGGAGGATCACAATTTGGAGCCAGCCCAGGCAAATAGTTCGTGAGACCCTATCTCGAAAAACCCATCACAAAAAAAGGGCTGGTGGAGTGGCTCAAGGTGTAGGCCCTGAGTTCAAACCCCAGTACCACAAAAAAAAAAAAAGAAAAAAAAGAAAAATGCATCTGTATCAAACATACATAGACTGTTTTCTTCTTGTCCTTATTCTGTAAATAGCGTGGTGTGACAGTGGTGAGTTACGCTGGGTTGGTGTTACACATGTTCTGGAGATGATTTGATTGATGAGCGGATGTGCACAAGTGTTTTGCAAATGCAGTAGCGTTTCCTAGAAAGGACTTGGGCATCTGTGAATGTGGGTACCGTGGGGGGCCTGCAGCCTATTCCCCACAGATGCCAACTGTATATGGTGCCCTGTCCCCCACAATGGTGGAGGAGGAGCAGGGGACAAAAAGAGCCGGGTGCAGCTCAGTGGTGGAGCGCTAATGCAGCGTGTTCAGAGGCCCTGGGTTCCACCAGCACTGCAAAAGAAAAAACCCAACCCCACGAATATTAATTAGGCAGCATATGGAGGGCAGATGCAAACATGGGGTCTTGCCATTGGGACAGGGCATGTCTTGGATTTCTGTGGTTCTGTTCTGTCCTTTCTACAATAAAGTGTCATTAAGTTGAGGATGTCATTATTTCTTTAATCATGACTCCTGCCCTCCACCATCCACAGACCCTTTCAGTATGGTGTGAACACCTAAATCGTCAACTCTGCGCGGGCCCCGCTCTGTTAGATGAGGCTGGAAGCACAGAGAAGTTACAGGCTGGCCAGTCGCCACACAGCCAGCCTGTGTGGAGTACCCTGAATGCCTAGTGCACATCGAGCTCTGATGCCAGGTGCCGGAGGCTGTGAGAGATGCAGAGGGATGGACAGAGGGCATCAGGTAGATGGGAGGTCCCCAGCCAGGTGGCACCAACCTGGGCTGGATCTGGTGGCCTGGGGATGGAGGCGGGCACTGGGCCAGTGCGGGCCACCAGGGGGCAGCTGTGGGCCTCCTCTTTGCAGTTTCCAAGGCAGGTGCCCTTGGACAGGAGCCGCTGAGTGTTCCCTGCTTTCTGCCGTCATGTCCCTGCTCCTCCTCCACCATCATGGGGGACAGGGCTCCTCTCTTCTGTCTTTCATCCAGAGGAAATGGAGACCCAGAGAGGTCAAGTGCCTCGCCCACCATCACACAGCTTTAACAGTCAAGACAGGGTGCTGGGTCGCACCTGCACCCTTCAACACTGTGTCATGGGCAAGTCCCCTGCAGGGTCACCAGCCACTGTGAGAACCCAGCCAGGTCCTCTGCGCTATTGTGGAAACTCAAAAATTTGCTGGGGTTTTCTAAAATTTTGTTTTTCTCTTTTTTTGGTTTTAATTAATAACTTTGGTGGGAAAATCACGTCGGAAAGGTTGCTGAACAGGATGTTGACGTAGGAACCTCGTCAAAGGCGAACACTGATTTGTGACCACCTCGGAGTGCCAGGTGTGGGGGCGGGTGGATTTCCGGTGGGTTCGTGTCCCTCCCCAGTGCGTCAGGCCTCTGAATCAGAGAGGGTTGGCCTGTGTCAACTCAGTAGTCAGAAAAAGGTTCACAAACAGCTTTGCTGTTAAAAAAAAATAAACTAGAAGCAGTCCCATCTCCATCTTTTGTAAAAGTGGGGTGCAGCATTGGGGAGGGGGCCCTGAAATCCACTCTGGATGTCCCCTCCCCCAACCTGCTGGGTCCTTCCCTCCTGCACTGCTACCCAAGGGCTCCTCCTGCCCCTGGCATGGTCCAGTGCCGTGGGGGCTGCTGGGAAACTCCCGCCACCAGCATCCCCAGGGGTCTGCACCCACCTACTGCCAGCCCTGGTGTGGATGGGGCACTGAGTTGAGCCCAGGTGACCATCCAGATTCTCCACCCCCACCCCTGGGGCTCTTAGGGCCCTCTCTTCTTCCTGTCCTTTCTTCTGTCTGTCTTTCCAATCTTTCCCTCTATCCTCTAGGCAGAGGTAACTGATAAAGGCACGTGGGAATAAAGTTCAAATGTTAATAAATGACTTAAAGAAATGTAAATATTAATTAATTTAAAAACCCTCCATTGCACCAGCCACATTTCGAGGGCTAGAATGGACTGTGGGACATTTCTTCTGCAGTTTGTCCCCTCTGAAAGTCAGGCTGGAGTCAAGTCCCTCGTGAGGCATTGAGAGGGTGGAACTTAATCGGACCGTTGACAATGGTGTTCAGAGGTGAAGCTCTGTGCTAAAGCATCTACATGCCCCTGCGAGCTGATACTGGGCTTTTAAGAAGAACGAGAGAAGCCAGACACACTGACGCATGCACGCTCCCCCCCACCCCCCACCCCGCCACACACACACCAGCACCAAGACCAGCACCAGACGCAGGCCTTGGGCCGGAGCTGTGAGCCAAACCAGCTCCTCTCTACACCTTAGCTGGTATTGTGTGGATGGCAGGAGAAAATGGTCTAGCACCATTTCCATCTTAGCCATAGTCCTGGTGGATGGAGCTGTTTGTCTGACTATAAAATCCCTTCCTAAATTAATCTTTGAACCTCTCTCTGAGTCTCTCTCCCTCCTCCCCTTTTCTCCTCTCCCCCATTTCCTTCCTGCAAATTAGAAATAAAATTTTGATCCATGCTCATATCTGAATTTGTTTTTCTTTAACAGGTGCCTCTGGAGAGAAGGTGCCTGGTGACAGCTGAATGAGGTGCTCATGGCCAGGAGGGGCCCATGAAGGGAGGGCATTGGCCAGTGTGGGGGTGGGCACAGGCAGCAGAAGCTGGTTGAGACCTTGCCACGTGGCCCACAGGGGCTTGGGAACACTCCAAGGCCCAGCAGTGTAGATTTCTACCTTTGACCTCTTGCCACATGGGCCTGGTCAGGCTGATACCATGACACAAGCACTGGGTCGGGGCAGAGGGCCAGAGAAGTTGCCTGAGCTTCAATCCCCAGAGTCCTGGGTTCCTTCCACACATTTGCAGACCAGTGCATGGAAGGGGAGGACCAGATTTGAACAGGATATTTGTTGTCTTTTGAGACAGGGTCTCGTGTAGCTCAGGCTAACCTTGAACTCAACAATTCTCCAATCTCAACCTTGTTGAGTGCAGAGATTACAGGCGTGCACCACCCAACACTTTTAAAAGTCCTTTATCAAGGGAATTCCAAGGAAGCACCTGACAGCCAGCCATTCCCTAGTGTGCACCGTCTTATTCCCTGTGAGCGTCACAACAAGGATTTTGTGTGTGTGTGTGTATGTCGGCACTGGGGTTTGAACTCAGGGCCTTATGCCTGCTAGGAAGGCATTCTTACTGCTTGAGTCACTCTGCCAGCACAGTAAGGTTTTTAACCATTCCAGTCACTGCTTTCAAAGGAATGTTAGGCCTCCACTCCTGCAAGGTGCAAGGAGTCCTATTGAGAAAGTGATTCCACTTTCTCTCATTGGCGCCTGATTATGGTGTGTTGAACTCGTTCTGCGATTAGGGAGATCGAGGAGATACTGGTTTCTATTGGACAAGGCCTCTCAGTGGGCAGGGCTAATGTGCATTCAAGTCAATATAAATGCCCATGCAGACCCAGCAAGCCTGGACCTGATCTCCTGCCACTGGCCCTGGTTCACTTCTCTGCAGCCGATCTTCCTGTACTGTGAACGTGCCAAATTCCTTGTGCCTCAGGGCCTTTGCATGCACTCCACCCTCTGCCCAACATTCTTCCCCAAGTTTATGCTGCCTTCTTCTTCCATCTACTGAGGGCTCAGCACAAATGTCCCCTCCCCCAAAGCTTCTCTGAGCACCTGCCAGCTCTCCTGGCTCAAATCTCTATTTGCTAACACCCTTGGGTTTTTGCAACATAGGCTCTTAAGGTCCCTTACCTAGGGCCCACCCCATCACTCATCTGCCTGGGTGTAGCACACAGGTCACCTGGGCAGTAAAGACACTGCCTGGATTCAGCAGGCCTGCCAGGAACTCACTGTGTGACCTCAAGAAAGCATGGCAGCCAGCGCCCCATGTGATGTGCCAAGGCCCCAGCATCAACACTCAGCTCGGCCGGAAGTGCAGGAGGACTGATGCCCCTGGAGACACCACTAAGGACAAAGGCTCAGCCCACCCCCACCCCCACCCCCGCCACGGCCGGGCTGCTCACGGTGCATGGTCTACCAGGATTCAGAGTCAGGACCCTGCCCTTGGTGCCAGTCCTGGTAATGTTTGATAACACCCCGTAGCAGAGGGCTCCTAGCTTCCTCGATTCACTTCCTGGTGCCCCTATCAGCGTTTTGGGGACACCTCTTAAGCCAACCAAGTGCACTCGAATCCTTGTCTCAGAATTTGCAAACTGCTTAGCCCTGTGTCCTCCTGATGGAAGGGCTCACTAAGCAAAGAGACCAAGCAGCTCATCACAGCACCCGGCAGTACGCTTGTTTAATCAGCGAAAATCAGGTAAAGTCCCACCCAGCCATGCTCCACCCAAGTGACAGAGACCAAGTGACAAAGCTCAACCTGGTCCCTGCCTTCCTAGCCCCCCGACGTCCACCAATGTGCAGGGTGGATTGTGTAACCATCTGTTGTCTGGATTTCTTCTGCATGGCTGGCCCCAGCAAGGATCACGAGACACAGCCATTCCTTTACGGTCTCACTGTGGCTACCTACAGTGGCCTCTGCTGGGACTGGACACAGAGCAGCTGCCTTAGTTTACTCTGGGGACCCTATGCTTCAGAACGGCCCCAATCTTACAGTGATTCATAGGCACCTGGCAGCCATGCCGTCATGGGTCATTGCGATTTTTCCTGCCCTTCTGTGTTGCCTTTGGCTTTGATTCAGAGGTTTCTGAATGACTGCACCCCTGTGGGCCGGTGACTGTCCTGCTAGCTTGTTTCCTGTTCATTTTAATACCTCCAACGACACCCCCTCGGCTTTGTGAATTTCTAGGCTCAGCTTCCCAGTTGGTGAGATGCAGGCAGCTGATCTCAGGAGCCGTGGAAGCTTTGGCTACGGAGTAGCTTCTTTGGTGGGCAGCATGTGTCTTGGGCTGGTAGGACAAGGACGGTCTGTGGCAGAAGCTGTAGACAGCGTGTTCAATGACTCACTCACAAGCCGAGGAGTCTGGGGACCTCCTGATCTTTGCAGCGCTGTCATGGGGACACAGCCACTCAGATACCCCTGAGCCCTGGGAGAGGTGGTGAGCCTGGGCCAGTGGTGGGGAAGGGGTGTAGCCTCTGAAGTCAAAGCGTTAGGTTGAGTTCACACTTTCACTCTGAAGTTCTCCAAGTCCTTGGAGACCTGTCAGCCCAGCTGCTTCTCCAGAAGCCACACTTCTCAGGTATGCCCTGTCCTTACCTGCAGACCTCAGTGACAGGAGGCCTGCTCCTAGGATACCCTCATGCACAGGGGATCTGTGCTGGCCAGATCTGCCACGTTGGGCATCTGGCTTGAGCTCTGGGCACTTGTAGGCTGACAGGACAGCAAGGCCTTCCCCTCTGTGGACACGCCCAGGGGGACCAGGGATGCTGGGGTCAGGTTGGCTGCTGACAGAAGGCCCCCTGAAGTGGGGTTTGGGGTCCCCACAGGACTCCCCAAAAGTGAGGCTCTGTCTCTGCAGCAGCAGCCACAGCAAGGACTGGCCACAGCGTGGGCCTGGCCACTCTCCTTCTGGCTGTGACATTGCTTGAGGCGGCCACACAGGTGACAGGTAAGGGCTGAGTAGACAATACCACTGCCCAGGTCATCCTGGGGGGACTCTGGGGCCTGTTCTAGGGTGAGTGTGGGCTTCTGCCTATCCTCTCCCTTTGCTGGCTCCAGACCAAGGCACTCTGCGGAGCTGATGGAAACAAAAGAGTCCTGAGCACCATGAGACGGCTCCATGTCCAGTCCGAAGGTGAAAAAGGGCCTGGGGACTGTGGCAGGGTCCTGGGGACAGTCAGGAATGAGGCTCTGGAAGGGCTTATATCCTCCATCCCCACTGCCAGCCCCAGGTCCTGATGTTGCTGTGCAGGTGGCATTGCTGGTGAGAAGGCTGGACAGGGCCGTGTACCCGGCCTTGGCTCTCACCCCACTGTCCAGGTCCTGGTCCCGGGCCTGTTCCACCACCTGCTCAAACTGTCGGTAGCCACTGGCCGTGACTGAGGGGGGGACCACAACTGCCCCAAGCTGCAGAACTCGCTGACGGAGCACTTGCTCCCAGCTCTCTGGCTCAGGCTGGGGGTCCCAGGGGCCAGTGTTGACCTCTTCCTCCAGGTGAACAGGCCTTTCTGGGTCTGGCTCCAGCTCTGTAGGGCTCGGGGACTCGCTTTGGAAGTCACTGAAGCTGCGGTAGGCAGGGTTGTCTGCAATGACCGTGGGCACCGGAGTGCAGGCCCAGCTGGCCAAAGATGGCTCCTGGCCAGGGATGCAGGTCAAGGGCACTTGAGCCTCTGCAGGCAGAGGGAAGCCTGACACCTCTGGGCCCAGCTGCCCCAAGCCCCCAGCCTCAGCCCCTAGAAGGTCCAGGAACAGGCTCTCTGTCAGCTGGGCCATGATGCCTTCCCGTCCATCCTGAAAGCCACCCCCACTGCCCTCTGGGGATGTGCAAAGGTTCCCATTGTCCTCCTCCTCTTCCTCCTTTTCCCCGCTAGCCACAGGGGCCTCAAACAGCTCCACACAGCGCACCACACTGATGTTCTCTGGACACAGGATCCTCTTGTTGGCCTCCATGAGGCATGCTTGCTTTCCCGGGCTCTGGAAGTTCCTGTGTATGGCAGCCTTTGTGAAATCCTGGTCCCTTTTTACGCCATGCTCCAGGAGACAGGGAAGGAGCTTGGTCAGACAAGTCTTCCAACGTCTGCAAAAGCAACATTTGGAAAGGGCTCGGTTTTGCCACTTGAAAAACTTATTCATCCTCCAGAGCCCCAGCCTGGTATCTCTGAATTACAGACACACCCCCTGACTGTAATCAATAATTAACAAGTCTGCCTTCTGTGACAGATGGAATTCCTTGAGGCCAGGACCTCTGTCTTACTTTGGGATTTCTGGAACCTGGCCCATGGTCTGTGACCTAAGGCAAACTTATTCTATCATCTAAGGACAAATGACGTCCCAGGATGAGAATGTTTAAAAATCACACGGTGGCATCAGCCATGATAGGATGGATGCGGGGCCCAATGGCAGGAGCCCGATCCTGGAGTCTCCAGCTGTCACACAGAAGCCCTTTAGTAACTGGATTCTGTGAGGGAGGAGCTAAGGGGGACAGAGGCAGGCTTAGGATAGAGGGACTTGCCAGCAACTGGACAATTAGGCCATTATTTTAACCACTGACTCAGCTGCCTCGTTGCCACCACACCAGGCGAGATAGGGCCAGCAGGCTTTCCCAAGGGGATCCAGCATGTGCCCTCTTGTCCTCATGAAACTCGGGGGTTTGGCTAGTCACCCACATGCGCAGTTCCCCACCCCTCCTTGCTTCCCCGCAAAGCCAGGAAGAGAAGGTGGATGTGGAGGTGGCGTGTGACTGCTATCAAGGTGGATAACATGTCCCAAATGCACATGTGACAGAGTATGACCCGAGTCCAGATACATACGGGCACTTTGTCGCTTCCTGACCTCGAGACCGCTTCTCCCACGGTGACACCTGAAATACAGACAGCCAATGAAACATAGCAGAGTTGGCCTTGGGCCTGGCCTGGCCCCCAGCAATGCTCAGGGGCCTGCTGTGGAAAGGGTGCAGCTCTTGACATCACGTGGGTCTGAGGTCCAAACAGGTGGCTTCAGCTCTCTGGGCCTCTGTATCTCAGAAATGAATGAGACTGTCCTGGTGATAAAGGTGACCGTGCTCGATGGCCAAAACAGTGGCCCTAGGACCTCAGCTCCTCCCACTCCTGAATCTAACCAGGCCACAGGGCTTGCTGTGCGCATCGGCAGTGCTAGGCCACCCCGGGCTCAGTCACCTCCAAGGCCCCAGTGAGTCGCTGGACCTGTGAATGAGCCACTCGGGCAAAGCTGGCCTAGGCCCAGCCCTCCCCCCTGTCCCCTGTCTGCACTGAGCCCCATCCAACTGCTAACATGCAGAAGCAAGTGTTAAATAAGCAGTGGATAACTCACTTTGTGGATCTGGGAGTGGCTTCTTACACAGCGAGAGCTAACTGGTACATAAGCAGCTCTCCGTGCTGTGAGGCTCTTTAGCAGGCACTTCATGTACGCTATTTCACTGAACTCCAGGGCCACTCCTAACAGGGAAACGCTCTCATAACCTGCCTGAGGAAACTGAGGCCCGGGCGGGCTCTGTGACTTGCCCAGGTCCACACTGTGGTAAGTGGCAGGGCCAGGACTCAAAGCCAGCACTGCCAGATTGTAGACCCGTGCCAGGGGAAGCTGACCCCACCCAGCTCAGGGCTGGCCGCTTGGCTGCTGTCCAGGCCTGTGAACCCCTTCCTACTCCTGCCGGCGGGTAGGAAAGAGCAGGGGGTGTGACATAGGCCACCGGGCACGAGAACAGGGCTGTGCTGGTGCTGCAGCTGCGGCCTGCCCTGCAGGACAACATGCCCACCTCTGTCCTCCCAGCCTGTGGCCCTGTTGCAGGCACCTCCCTGGGAGGGACGTGTGACGTGACCTCGGCCAAGAGACCTGCCCCGGGGCAGCCCAGGCTGAAACAGCAGCCGCAGGAGCTGTGGCTCCCAGTGACCATACTGAGCACCGAGTCCCCCTGCCCAAGCCTGCCCACCCACCCGATCTGTCCATCTGCTGTTCCAAAATCCAGCGGGCATCCTCCCCCACCCCCAGACACTGGATCACACCACTGACAACAGCTCAGCACATCCCGCTCCGTCCTACCTGAGAGTCCTGGATGATGACAGCCACCAGGGGGCTGCGGGCTGGGTTGGGAATCTGGTCCCACCACACTTTCTTAATCCTGTGAGACAAGAGGAAAGGGTGTTGGTCTGGGAAGTGGGAACACAAGGCTCACATTCTCCTTGAAACCTTCGTCCTGCTCACTGCCCCTTGTCGGGCATCAGAGACCGTGTGCATTTGTTTTCGGATGCTAAACCACTGGCATGCATACTATCACTAACCCATTCTGTGGATGGGGAGACAGAGGCCCAAAGAGAGGAAGTTACAGCTGGCAGAGCCAGGGTCACCCTCTAGCACCCTGTACCCAGTCTGCAAGGGTACCTGACTGAGGATACCCAGCCCCAGGAGGCCACCTCTGTTCCCAGTGGGCATGATGACTCAAAACAGAACCATGACCCTGGATCCCTATGCCATAGCCGAGGGCAGGTTACCAGGGATGAGTCTGGGTGGCCTAAGGAACTTTGGGACCTGCAGTAGGCTCTACCTCCCCGGACCTGCCGGACCCACAGTGCGATGTCCAGGGCGGGAAGGTCAGCAGTCCCTTCTCCCCACCATCTTAGCCACCGGGTGGCCCCAGGCCCCAGCCAGGACTCACTTGATGATGCCAAAATAGCAGGACAGGCAGATGACCACAATGAGGACGCAGGAGATGCTCACGCCCACATGGAGGTGCTGCACCAGGGGCACCTGGTAGTCTGCAGGTGGGAAGGAGAGCTGTGAGCTGCCTCCGTCTGCATGCAGCCGGGCCAACTGGGGAAGGCTGCTCGTAGCCCTCCTGCCTCAGCCCCCCACTCTCCCTCTTGCACACTCAACATTCATCACGCTGGCCTCCCCAAAGGTCAGAGTTTGAACTTGCTGCTCTTCCTTTCTAGAAGCCCAGAGGTCAAGTGCATTGACTGGAGTTCAAAGTGGCCTCTGGCATATCCTTGCTGAGCGACCCAGGGCAAGTCGATTGCCCTCCCTGTGCTCTGATGTCCTCATTTGTATGACGGGGTTAGAAAGACCTCATCTCACAGGCTTGCATGGACCACAATTTAATCGATAACGTACTTGGGCAGCGTAAGCTCATTCATGAGCGCGATGCCTCTTCTTCCTGTTCATTTCCTCTCTTCCAAAAAGACTTCGTGGACCTGGTCTATGCCACTGCTCCTCCCGTCACGCCATCCCTTTGCTAGGTTTTCTTTGTTTTTTGGTGGCCCTGGGATTTGAACTCAGGGCCTCATACTTTCTAGGCAGATGCCCTACTGCTTGAGCCACACCTACAGCCCTTTTTGCTTCAGACAGGATCTTGTGTTTTGCCAGGGGCCAGTCTGGACCATGATTCTCCTACCTCCACCTCAAGCGTAGCTGGAATCATGGCCGTGTACCACCCTGCCCTGCCTATTAACTGAGATGGGGGTCTCACTAACTTTTTGTCCTGGCAGCCTCAAACCGTGATCCTTGTGATCAATACCTCCGAAGTAGCTGGGATTACAGATGTGCCCCACTGCGCCCCGCCTGTTTTATTTTCTCCCAGCAACGACTGCTATCTGGATGCACCTGATTTCTTTGTTTGCGTGTCTAGTTTTCGTCTCTTCCCTCTAGCCTGTCACCACCATGAGACCCATACACCACATCTACACACACCCCACACACCCTGTTACTGCACTTCAGCCAGGAGCGCTGATGGGCCACAGAGACAGAGTAGGGAGCAGAGACTCCAACCGGCAGGGTCCCCGGCACTCACCATTGTGCCACTTGGCGCTGGGGCTCCACTCGCTCCACATGCTGTTGTAGTTCTGGGCCCGGGCCTTCACCCGGGCGCTGTAGGACACCCTGGGCTTCAGGGTGCTGGCCGCCAGGCGGAGGATGGGGTCCATGTAAGTCACATTATGAACTTTGAACTGGTGGAGAAGGAGACACTGGGTGCCTGCTCTGGGGGACAGGCTGCCACCCTTAGGTGACCCAGCATGCTGGGGGTCCCCTTGACAGGGGCACTGCAGGTGGGGGCTGGGGCCAGGGGCAAGGCAGAGACTCAGTCCCCTCACTCCTGCCTGCTTCCTGCGCATGAGCGAGCGAGAAGCCCGTCAGGCAGAGGAATCCTGGGAAGGGCAGAGCCTGGGAAATGGCGCGCAGCCACCCAAGCCTCCACGGAAGGATGGGAGTCAGTTTGTTTTTGAATGAGAAGGCCAGGTGGCAGGAGACAAGCTCCTCCGAAAAACATCCAGGGCAGGAGAACCAGCACAGGTCCTAGGTTCAAATCTCAGCTCGGCCATCTCCACTTCCCCTGTCCATGCCTCAGTTTCCCCAGCTGTAAGCCAGACACACCAGTACACTGTCCCACCTGCAGGACTTCCCCAGTGACTGGTGCATAGTATGCACAGAAGAAATGGTAGCCATTATTTTTACAGCCTGGCACTCGCATCCCTACAAAGATTTATGGCCTCATTTTCTGCTGTGCATCCCAGATTCTGCAGCCCTGCAAACCACGGATACTCCACACATTTTTACAACTGCAACCAACCACTTTCTTGTTCACGCTACCTGCTTTCCCTTCTCTTCATTTCCTATTTAGAAAACTCCTATGCACCCTTCAACACCCTAAAATCATGCAGGGGAATGAAGAGCTCCATCCCCAAGGCTCCACGGTGAGTTCCTAACAGCTCTTTTTAAAATTTATCCACTCAGTCTGAGCTATAGCTGGCACCTGCAGGAGCACAGCAGACACACTACACAGAACAAGCCTTCAGAAAGATGACAGAGGCCAGACATGGTGGCTCATGCCTGTAATCCCAACTACTCCAGAGGTGGAGATCAGGGAGACTACAATCTGAGGCCAGTCCTAGGCAAAAACTTGAGACCATATGGATGGGTCCCTTGTCACCCTCATGTTACAGATGAGAAAACTGAGGCACAGAATGGTCACACAACCAGTTCAAGCCACGTGACTGACAAATGGCAGAGCAGGTATGGGGGACTCAGCTCTGTGGGGAGCCAGGCCATGGTGTCCAAATGTCCTCACCAATGGGAATATGAGGGCATGGGGGACATGGGTGCAGGAGATGATCCCCACCTGCAAATACAGGGGCTGACCCATCCCTGCTATTATTTATTTGGTAGTTTGCTGTGAATCGACTCTGCTTTTTTTGGTTGTTCTTTTGGTGGTACTGGGGATTGAACTCAGGGCCTCACACTTGCTAGGCAGGCGCTCTACCACTTGAGCCATGTCCCCAGCCCTCTTTGGCTTGTTTTATAGATCGGTTCTCTATCTACCTATGGCCTGTGCAGCTAGGACAGGCATGTGCCACCATGCAGGCTTGTTGGTTGAGATGGGGTCTCGCTAACTTTTTTTGCCTGAGCTGACCTCAAACCACGATGCTCCCTGTCTCTGAGTAGCTAGGATTATAGGTGTGAGCCATCACACTGGGCCTCCACTCTTCCTTTTAAAGACACTGGCATTGGTAATCTCAGCACCAAGGAGGCTGAAGTAGGAGGATCACAAGTTTGAGGCCAGCCTGGCCTACATAGAAAGACCGTCTCAAAAAAACCAAAAGTAAAATAAGATAGAAATAAAGACATTGCTATATGTCTTCAGAAAGGAATCTCACTGGCACCCCTGTGCAGGGAAGGCAAGGGTCCCCGCCATGAATGTTGTGTGAAAGCAAAGGCACCAGAACCCAGCAGAGTGAGGAGCTGCTGCTCAGCTGGCCTTCCCAGGGGAGGCTCTGAGCCCACAGCCTCCTCTCTGTCTTAAAGAGGAGACTGCCTGCTGGTCACAGGAAGGGACTGTTGGGGGTGCCGGTCTTGTTTGGGACTCAGGTTTCTGAAGTGTGTCACCAGTGCTCCATAACTATCTCTTGAATTCTCCAACTGGGAACCACAGAAGTGACCTTAAGCCCCAACTTGTCAGAGCAGAGATCAGGGACATACCCCTTCCCCGCTGGGATCCACGGATCTTTTTGTTTGTTTTTTGAGACCAGGTCTGGCACACCTGATCTCTTGCCTCAGCTGGGATTACAGCCATGTGCCACCACACCCAACACCCTTTGGATGTTGATGTCTCCTACAGGCCCAGGTGTCGAAGTCTTGAATCCAGCTGGTGGCACCTTTAGGAGGTGGGGCCTAGTGGGAGGAAGTTAGGTCATTGGGGATGAGCCCTTGAAGGGTTATTTCTTGTCCCTGCCTTTTTTTTTTTTCCCTTCTGGCCGCCATGAGGTAAGCAGCTTGGCCCCACTGTGTGCTCTGTGCCACGAGGCTGCCTCACCACAGGCCCAGCGAGCAGAGATGACACCTCTGCCACCGTGTCCTTTAAGATGGCTTGCTCAGGTGTTTTGTCACAGCACTGGAAGGCTGTCCCACAAGCTGCATACTGGAAGTTGGGGCCTGGGAGGGGGAAAGGCTTGCCCAGAGCAGAGCAGGGTGGCACACAGGGTCTCTGGGACCTCCCAGGCTCCCAGCCCCACAGCTGGAGCCTCTGCCCACCGGCCCCATTCCCAGTGTGCTCTGGGGGCCCCTGTCCACTACACAGTCACTCACATCTGCCGGGTTGTCTTCCCTGGAAATGTTGACCAGGTAAGTGAGTCCCTTGTACAAGTAGCTTCCCGGCGGGTACGGGTTACTCCATGTCAGCAGCCATGTATTGGAGATGTTGCCATGAACCGTGAGGTTCCCTGGGGCCCTGGGTTTCACTGCGAGAAAAATGACACCTGGGTGAGGGCCTGTCCTCACAGCAGAGGGGACACCACCCAGTATACAGGCCACAGGCCTCCTAGACTTTTCCGTGACAATGCCCACCTCTGTAGAACACTTGTGGGACACCACACAGACTCAGAACCACAGAGAATGTGGTCACAATCCTGGTGACAGTGTGACTTCAGCTCTGCACAGCACTTTTGTGTTTGTTCCTTAGATACCTTTCAACCCGCTGGGCCTGTCACCTCCATCCTGCACATGGAGGCCATGTCTGAGGACGGTGCTATCACTTTCTGAGTACTGGCCTTCAGTTTTGAAAACTGCCTCTTTATATGCAATCCTATCCATGAGACTGCAAGTGTAGAATGCATTAAAACCAATGCACGAATGAGAAAATCATTTCAAAACTCACTCAGGGGTCCATCCCAGCCACTGTGGGCCTTCAGCAGCCTCTGATGGCACATCAAGACGCTTAGCCTGGAGTTCTGCCTTCTCTGCCAAGTAGCTGTGTGACCTAAGGCAGGTTACTTGCCTTCTCTGAAGTAAAATTTATTCAATAGTAAAATGGAGATAATCATGATCTTTTGGAAGCTGAGGCTCAGAGAGGTAATGTGACTTGCCTCAGGTCACAGAGCAAGACATTCCTGACTCTTTCTATCTATCTATCTACCTAACTATCTATGTATCTACCTACATATCTATCTATTTTGGTGGTACTGGAATTTGAACTCAGGGCCTCACATTTACTAAGCAAGTGCTCTATACTTGAGCCATTTTCAGGTAGGCTCTTGTGTTTTTGCATGGGCCAGTCCAAACCTCAATCCTCCTGCCTGTGCCTTCTGGGGAGTTGGACCACAGGCATGTACCACCGTGTTTGGTTTACTGTATGAGACAGGGTGTCACTAACTTTTTTTTGCTCAGGTTAGCCTTGAACAGCAATTCTCCTGACCTCTGCTTCCCAAGCAGCTGGAATTACAGGCATGAGCCACAGCGCCTGGCTAAATCCCTGCTTTAAGTCCTATTTTAAACCACCCTGAGTGGGCTTGGGGTACAGCTGGGGTGTAGCTCAGTAGCAGAGTGCTGGCCTAGCAAGCTCAAGGCCCTGGGCTCCATCCCAACACTGCAAATAAATGAAATAAACTATCTGGGACAGGCTCGTGGGGATACTTGCTGCAGGACTCCCAGTGGGGTAAGGCCAGGAATCCACAGTCAAGGCCATCTGTAGAAGCAGCCACTGTGCAGTCTTCAGTGGGGGATGGCAGTTTCCACCTCACCTTCTACCTGCAGGGGCCCGTGTCCCCTCACCCACTTCTTCCCCACGTCCCTTCCCAACCTTCAGGTCAGGGGTGGGAAGAGTGCACTCGGGGACTGACAGGACATTGAGCCCAACCCCATTTAAAGATAGGGAGACTGAGGCCCGGAATGGGGTGGGAGCCCCATTGGGTGTAGGGTGAAGCAGAGAATGTGGGGTCCATCCACCCCCGGCCCTCACCATGCTCGCTGGGCTGGAAGGAGCCGCCCCACAGCAGCTGCTGCCCGGCCCACAGGTCCAGCCTGTAAGTGTCCGTCTTGATCAGGTCATCTGTGAGCATGTAGCACACACACGCCGTGTCCGCGCTGTTCTTGGGGACACAAGTGCGGTTTCTGCAGACACAGGAGCTGAGTTAATCAGGTCACTCACAGCTGTCCCCAGGACATGCCCCTAAGGAAGTGCATTGCTTCCAACTTCCTGACAGACCTGACTGGAGAACCAGATCTGGGGGCCCTGGCACAGCGGTGGGGACAGAGGACCAGGGTAGCCTTCCTTGCTGGCCACAGCCCCGTCCACCCAACTATGGACACTCCTGTGGTCCTCTGGCTGCAGACCCTGGTTTCAGCAGTTGGCCCCACCCTGAAAACCACAGAAGGGAAGAACCTGTGATACTGTCACTTATGACGTGTGGGTCCCCGTGTCCCTCCACACAGCAATTTCCACCAGCACACAGTTGGCTGTGGCAAGCCGTGGCCTGCCACCCACAGGCACGAGTGTGCACAGTGGAAAGATCACCACCCACGACAGCCATCCCCATGTCTCCTCACCAGGCCATGGCTCAGCAACCTTTGGCAAAAGGCCGGGGAAAAAATATTTGGGGCTTGGAGAGCTGTGCAGCTTTTTCTGGTGCAGCCATAGACAACATGGAAATGAATGAGCACAGCTGTGTGCCAATAAAACTTTATTTATAGCCAGGCCAGGCAGTGCATGCCTATAATCCCAGCTGTGTCGTGGGAAGTGTGAGTAGGATTGTAGTCCAAGGCCAGTCCCAGGCAAAAACATAAGACCCTACCTGGAAAAAAGCTAAAGCAAAAAGGAGGCATGGCTCAAGTGGTAGAGTACCTGCCTAGCAATCTCCTAGGCCCTGAGTTCAAGTCCCAGCACCACCAAAAAAGTGTTCATTTTTATTTATAAGCCTAGTATGGTGCTGTACGCCTGTGATCTCTATAATCAGGAGACAGAAGCAGGATGATCATAAGTTTGAGGGAAGCCTGGGCAATTTAGCAAGGCTGCCTCAAAACAAGAAAACTATTTACAAAAGTAGGTGGTGGGGGTGGGGTGTAACTCCGTGGTACTGCATTTGCCTAGCACGCCTGAGTTCCATCCCCAGCACTGCAAAAACAAAAAGAAATTTAAAAATAGCCCCTTCCCCCAAACAGGAAGTGGGCTGTATTTGGCCAGGGTCTACAGCTTTTCACAAAGGAATTTTCCGGAGGCTCAGTGATGTGCGTGACGAAGGTGTCACTGGGCTTGTATATTGTGATTTACAATTGTTCTTTTTTTTTGGTGGCATGGGGTTTGAACGCAGAGTCTTGTGCTTGCCAGGAAGGTGCTCCAGCATTTGAGCCATGCCTCAAACCGTTTTTCCTTTTTCAGGTGATTTTTTAGGTAGGGTCTCACACTTTTGGCCTCAGACCTCGATCCTCCCACTACAGGCTCCCGAATAACTGGGATCCCAAACAGGTATGTGCCACCATGCTCCGCTTGTTTGTTGAGATGGGGCATTAGTTAGCATTTTGCTCAGGCTGCTCTGGTTTTAAATCTTGATCCCCCTGATTTCTACCTCCCTAGTACGTGGGATTACAGGCTTGAGCCACTGCACCTGCCATCCGTTTTAAGTTCTGATAAGTAAACATCGACTGACAAGCCACCTACACAAGGGTTTCTTGGGTCCTCACTAACTTTGAGAGTACAAAGAGAACAAAAAAGATGAGAACTGAATCCAAATATCCCAGCCCCATGCACATGTCACACGCCACAGTGACAGTGTGCTCAGAGGGCTGGGTCCACACAGCGTGACCTCACCATGGACACGGAACCCAATCAGCTGCGCCTTTAGCACTGTGCACTGTCGTGCCCGCAAGGATAAGGCCCAGCTGTGCAGAGCAATGGGCACAGCCCCCCGCCCAGGCCACTCAAGGACTTACTCAAAGAACTCGAAGTCCAGCCAGTAGGACAGGTGGAGCTCGGTGCCACAGCCAACAGGCCGGTCCAGTTGCCACTCGCAGGTGGAGACATTGAGGTAATCGGAGAAGCAGGTGGGCTGGTTCAGGACCTTGATGCTCCCTGTGGGGACACAGGGGGACCTGAGCGGTGCAACCAGCAAGAAGCTTCACAGTATTTTGGTTTGTCCTTTGAGACAGAGTCTTGATCTGTAGCTGGGATTACTGGGGTGTGACACCACACTAGGCCACATGGGTCAGAAATCTTGGTGTCATCCTTGACACCTCTCTCTCTCACTCCAGTTCCTGCTTGTCTCCTGTGATCTCCAGCCTCCACCCCGTCCTTCCTCCACGCAGCAGCTGGGGGATCGCTGTTAACATAGAGGATCTGTGTAGCAACTTGGCTCAGACGTCGAGGTCTTTCTGGACTTGGCCCTACGACTTCCCTGGCCTCCACTTCTTCCCCCTGCTCCTCCCATATACTAGCCGGGCTCTGCTGAGAATGCTCCCCACTCCCAGATATCTGCATGGACCCCCGGCCATCCTTCAAGTTGGCCCTGCTGGCAGCCCTCAGGCCCCACCCCACCCAGCTGCCCTCACCCTCTCACTCCATTCTGTCCTGTCTTCTGTCTCTTTCTAATGATTTTATAACTGACCATGAATTGTTGTCTTCAAACTTCAATTTCCCCTTGAATTAATATCAGTGACAATAACTACGCTGGGGACCGTTTGACACTTCCACGTAATGGAATCTCCAGAAGGCTGGGGATGTTTATGGACCCCAGGACCATGGCACGTCATTAAGGGCCACTGAGTGAATGATTGAGAGGTGGGCATTTACCAGAGCCGGTCACCCACACCAGGATCAGGCAGCTCACAGGAAACAGGAGCCCAGGGCACGGCCACCCCATTGGGACATGCGAAGGTGCCTGCAGAGGGAAAATGGCTGGTCAGTGCTGACGTGGGGTTCCCGTCCCGTGTGCCTCACTCACCGCGTGAGTGTCCCTGCCCCGGTTCACCATCCTCTTTCCACACACGAGATGCTTCCTGGATCTTGGAAGCCACCTCCTGTCCCAAGAGATGTTTCTGTGTGAGCATGTCCAGGGACAGCTGTCCCCAGCCTTTTGCTCTTTGTCTCCTCTGGCTCCAAGTACACGCTCCGTCACCTACTAGCTGCGAACCGGGCCGGGCTGCACTTCAGTGCCCTTTCGTATCTGTAAAGCGGCTGTCTAATCACAGTCCACCTTGTGGTGCTGGGGGCTAAGTGGATCAATACGACACGCAGGGCCTCACACAGCGATCAGGACACAGTAAGGCTCAGAGTGTGACGAGCCAGCACAGCCCACTCCTGCTGCTGTAACCAAAACGCCTTAGGCGTTAGGCTCACAGCTCTGGGGACCAGCAGAGCCAGTGTCAGGTGAGAGCCACTCTAGGCCTCACAGAGGACCCCTGTTGTGGGTCCTCACACAATGGAAGATGGACAGGCCAAGCAGCCTGCTGGAGCCTCTTTCATAAGGGCACCAATTCCTTTTATGAGGGCAGTAATCACCTCCCCGAGGTCCCAGCTCTTACTATGGCTCCACTGAGGAGTAGGTTCCAACATCTCAACAGGAGAGCACATTCAGACCACGGCACCAGTTTTTATCAATGAGAAAAATGGGGTCTGGGGTGCAGCTCAGTGATACTTTTTTGGCATGGATGAGGCCCTGAGTTTGATGCCAGCACTACAGGTAAAAGGAAGGGAGGGAGGGGGAGAGGGAGGGAAGGAGGGAGGAAGGAAGGAAGGAAGGAAGGAAGGAAGGAAGGAAGGAAGGAAGGAAGGAAGGAAGGAAGGAAGGAAGGAAGAAAAGTTCTGAGAACCAGTTTGAGGTGGTTCACGCCTGTAATCCCAGCTACTTGGGAGGCAGAGATTGGGAGGGTGGTGGTTGCAAAAAGTTAGTGAGACCCCAACTTGATGAATAACTCAGGAGTGGTGGTTCATGCCTGTGGTCCCAACTATGTGGGAGGCATAGGGAGGAGAGTCATGGTCCAAGTCTGCCCCAAGCAAAAGCACGAGACCCCTGTGAAAATAACTAAGGCAAGAATGGGCTGGTGGGGCAAAGTGGTGGAGAACTTTCCTGGCGTGCTCACAGCCCTGGATTTTTGATTTTGCTGACAAATTAAAAAAAAAAAAAAAGGGCTAGGAAGGGAAGTTTCAGGGAGCCAGGAGGTGTGCACTCTCCCCAGTGCTCCAGTCAAGGCACCAGGCCACGTCCCCCCCCATCCCCGTTTGAGTCTCCAGCAGGGTCTTATTTAAAGATGCTCCCAGACCTGTTCTGCTAGTGAGGGGCCATGTGTCCTTGGAAGGGCGTCTCTGTCTTTCAGAGCTCTGGCCTCTTTTCCTGTGACATGGGACGATCCCAGGATGGACTTCACAGGTGTGCTGCCCAAAGGTGTGGCATGGCGTCCAGGGCACGGGAGGGCCAGTATGGGGTACTCTCCAGAACTTTGGTGCCCTGCCTGCCTCTGCACCTGGGCCCAGCACCCCGTCTCTTGCTGTGTCAGGTACACCAGGGCACAAGTCCTCATCGCTGTCACCCCCCCATCTCTCCCTCCTTTCCAGCACCCCCATTCTCCTTCATGAGCACAGCCCCCCATCCTGTCCATCTGTCAGAGAGCAAATGCTGACAGGTTCCTGCCATCTAGGCCCCAGGCCCCAGCAGGTCGCTGCCACAGTGAACGCCCAGGCACCATAGTCACCTTTGATTATCATATGGTTCTTGCAGCCAGGACCAGCCTTGTGAGCACGGTCCACTGAGAATGGTGGGCCCCATGCTGGGAAACGCATCACTAGTGGATTTCACTAATGTGTGCATGTCAAGCGTGTCCTCACAGACACCTAGACAGCGTGGGTCCCTCAATGTGGCCTCTGCATGCCATCAAAAGATGTGGAAAAAATGTGAGATAAGAAGCAGCCGCCGGTGTCGCAAAGCAAGCTGTCCATGGTAAAATCTGTTTTCACGCAGTGACATGGTCTTACTGTCACGGCCTCCTTGTCAAGACGCCCACACCAGGTGCAACTGTGAACTGCGGTGTGGAAGGTGTGGGGACACAGTGTCACACAGAATGGAACAGAATCTCGTGGGCTCCATCACAACCCCAGGGGACCACTGTGGTACCTTCCACCCATCAGTGACCAAACCATCTTAATGTGGCCACGGCCACACCACAGGGACCCAGAGTTCCTTAGGGAAGTAGTCCATTCCAGAAGGGAAAATACCAGAGGAGATCTAAGGAAGGGCTCTTAGAAGGATAGGGACATTGCAAAGAAACACAGGCAGCCTGGTGTGGTGGTCGACACCTGTAATCCCAGCCCTTGGGAGGCTGAGGCAGGGGGATCTTGAGTTTGAGGATAGCCTGGGCTATACAGCAAGCTCCTACTTCAGAAAAAGAAAGAGGGAGGGAGAGAAGGAGGGAAGGGAGGAGAGAAGAGAAAATAAAAAGAAGGAAGGAAGAAAAGACCCAGGAGCCATCTCGGATCACAAACCAAAATGCTCACAATTCTAGCATCAAAATAAATAAGTCAATAAAGAAAGAATAAATCCAACAGTAACCAACTGCAGCCTTGGAGCTACAATACAGGGGTCAACAGGGACCCAGATCAACAGTGTGGTAGAAGGAAAAGCTCTATTTTGGCCTGGGACTCTCTGCAAACCTCTCATGAATCACTTATTAACTAACAGTCTAAATCCCTGACAGGCTCAGCTCCAGCAGACCCAGCCTGACCGAGAGGCCAAGGAGGAGCCTCTGAGACAATGCCCACTGAGGAGAAGCCAGGTCAGGCCCTGTGGCTCCAGCCAAAGACGCAGCCATGTGTGCAAACCCTGGACAATGGGTCAGAGGGACAGTGTAGGGTGGAGCCAGCTGCTATTCTGCCCAAGAACCCCCAAGAAGAGGCTGGAGCTGGGTGTGGAGAGAAACAAGAGAGGTTGAAGTTCCTGGCTGAGGTCACACAGCAAAAGGACTTTCAGAGTAAAGCCCTCCACAGCGGGGTGGGTCATCAGCAACCCAGTCAAGATCAGCTAAAATGTCCTACCCGTGGCAGTCAGTGTTGTTACTGTCTATCTGTTGTAGGGGGCACACTCAGACACACGCACACCCAGGCTAGTGACAGGGACATATGCTTGTTACATTTCAGGGAAGCCATGGCACAGAAGGGGACAGAGAGGTCTCCCTCTGTGTAGAAACTGAAGTCAGTTGGGCGCTGGTGACCCATGCCTGTAATCCTAGCTACTCAGAGACAGAAATCAGGAGGATCTCGGTTCAAGGCCAGCTGGGGCAAACAGTTTGCAAGACCCTATCACAAAAAAGGGCTGGTTGTATTGGCCCTGAGTTCAAACCCCAATACTGCCAAAAAAAACCAAAGTCCCTGGTGCGCTGGGGTCACCAACCATTTGAGTACCTGATAGGACAAAGCCCTCTTTCTAGATTCTGGATTCTGCATTCCATTTTAGGGGTTCGCAGCCCCTCCAAAGCTTGTGTGTGGACGCTGGATCGAAGTCCCCTTCTGTACAATGGGTAGCTATCGAGAGCCTTTGAGCAGGAGGGTGACAAGATTTTGCATAACCTCACCCTGGGGCTGAGAGGTGGTAGGAAGCCCAAGCTATTTCTAAATGGGACATGAAGCCACACCCTGCCTGCTCAGCCACAGAATGGCCTGGGTTCCCGCAGGGCTCTTCCCCTGGAGCCACAGGTCCCCAGGGGTCCACAGCTCATCCTTGTGAGGCAGAATAAAATGCAGGTCCCTGTGACAAGAGGTCATACTGTGGGACTCAGTTCACATCCCATTCTTGGACATCACAGAATTATGAAAGCGGGTGGGGGGGTGCTGCAGGGAAGGTAGGCGTGGTAAGGGGTTGGGGGTGGCCCCAGGGGTCCTGGGGTGACATTATGTGTGAGTGTTATGAAACCACCCAGAACTGAATCCAAGCGTGCACGAGTTCAGGGAAATCAGGAGACACTGCACTGAATCAGTGGCCGTCTCCACGTGAGTATCCTGGCTATGATGCTGTAGGACTGACACCTAAGAGGTCACCTGTGGGGGAACTGAGTACAGCCAGCCTTGCTGTATGAATTCTGACAACTGCACGTGAAGCTGTAATTATCTTAAAATAAGAAGTTTAAATTTCAGAAAATGAAAAAAAATGATCCAAGGCTCCTGTGATCCGGCCTGGGCTACCCTCTAAAGTTCTGCCCTGTCCTTCCCCCTGCCCCTCCCCTGCTGAGCTCTGGCCCTCTGGAGTCTCTGTCCCAGAAGCACTCCAGCGAGGCTGTCACTTGACTATGTTTATTTCTGGTACAGTGCCTATCATATTCCTCACCACATTCGTGAGGTTAAGGGTGTCAGTGTTTATTTGATTTCAGGATGCAGATGGCAAAGATAGAGTTGATAGACTGACTGCAAAAAATGTCTTCAGCTTCCCTAGATCAAAAGAAAAAGAAAAGGGGGTGGGGATGTAGCTTAGTGGTAAAGCACTTGCCTACAGGAGGCCTGAGTTCAATCCCCAGCACTGTAGAAAGGGAAAAGGAGGAGAGGGGAGGGGAAGGGAGGGAAGGAAAGGAAGGAAGAAAGAAAAAGACTAGAAAAAGACCACAATGTGCACATGTACATTACAAAGGGTGAGTGGCCTAAATATGGAAAGATAACTCTTATAAATCAATAAAACGCTACTTTAAGAAAAATAGGCAGGTCGGGACAGTGGCTCACATCTGTAATCCCAGCTACTTGGGAGGCAGAGATCAGGAGGATTGTGGCTCAAAGCAAAAAGTTAGTGAGATTCCCACCAATCCACAAGGTGGGCATGATGGTCACCTGTAGTCCCAGCTATGAGGGAGGCCATAGGTAGAAGGTTCTAGATCTGAGGCCAGCCTCTGGCAAAACAATACCCAA